CCCCAAAACCCCAAAACCCCAAAACCCCAAAAGCAAATAGATTATTGTTCATAAAAGAAATATATGATTTATTAGAAATAATCATTATCATTATGATAATTCCAATTTTTAATTGGGATCCCTCTCTATTTCTTTTAAAATATTCTAGGCTGCTCTCAACCCAGATATATAGGCAGCAGTAACTGTACCCAAAAATTCAAAAACTGTATGCTCCCCTGCGAACCATACCTTATTATCCACTCCTTTTGCGATCTCCTCGCTATCAGCAGATGAACAGCCAACCTTAGCAAAAGAATAAGACATTTTTATATGTTCATTAGTACTCCAGTTAGATCTCTTAAAAGCTTTGATATTTTCTCTGGTAATCTTCGCCTTGGGGTACATAATGTTGAGGGCGACTAGGGCAGATGAAATAAGTTCCTCATCATTAAATAGGGAAAACTTTATAGCAGAACTGTATGTGTTGAACATGACAAGGAGAGGTTACTTCATGTATTTATAATGGTTGAAACTAATAGACCAGTCAGATGTTTCAGAGTCAGATATATATGTCAGCCAGTCAATATCTTCATCCCAAAATACCTCCTCAAATTAAATGATTAATTTATCGAAGAATCCTACACCCAGTCTATTAATTGACTAAATCTTCTTTTCTGGCAGTAGCGGAGTAAATTCTATTACATTAGATGCTAGAATAGCAAGGGGGACTGTGACTATAAGTTTACGTGTTTTATATAATATGTTGTTTGTGGTTTGGATATCAATAATATCACGAGTGTAGTCTATTTTTTGAATTTTAGAATTTAAGTTAATTTTGAGACTTTTGGCAAGTGCATTTGGAATCTATGAGTAGCCGAGAGGGAATAATCGCTCTTCACCATCAAAATGTTGCAAATTATTTATTTGCCTAGCTGATAGCTAACTCAAATCACCATCATATTCACTTTCATAATCAAAACCAAGAATAGACTTCTTAAGCTTTTCATCATCTTGATAGGGGCCAAAATCAAATTTCTTGAAAAATTCATGTAGACTAAGTTCTTCATCAGTTTCCTTACAATTCTACTAGTAGAAGCTTCTTGATTCATAAACTATTGGGTAAATATCGCTTGGCATTTCACCTCCTTTATACCAAAATATTTTTTATTAATCAGTCTCATACATGTCATTAAACGTCTTGGCAGTTTTTATGTTATATTTGGTTGAAAGTTCGTAGAGTGGGTTCATTTTATCCCTCCATTCAGGTATATCGTTAGCACCTGGCCCGATGCCATGAATCCAAGAGGCACCCAACTCGACTGTAACTTCATCATTGAGATTTTATGAGTATATTCTTCCTCCGACTCTGTCTTGAGACTCCAGAATTAAAACATTTTCATAACCTTGCTCTTTTAAGTGATTAGCTGCTCCGAGACCTGAAATACCTGCTCCAATAATAATCACATCATATATCTGTTCAGGATTCTCCATTTACATCTAGATATTTCCTCCTATTGATGTTTATTGTGTTTCCATTATATGTTTTCAAAAGCTTGCTGGATACTTATTATAAAGAAATTAACTTAGATAGATATTTATATTTAATACATAAGCTTAAAACTATGATAAATATCTGATCTCTTTTTTAATAATATTATTGCTCTGCTCTTATTATAAGCTTTGATAAAATGGAGCAAAATTCAAAAAATTGCTCAGGCTTAGCCTTTTTAATCACTGACTCTGGATAAACCTCAATAAACCGAAAAATGAATGAAGATCCTCAGCCTCTTAGCATAATCAGAGTCCAAGCCATAAAAATTCAGCCAATACTGCTCACAAAGTGTAGGAAAACATCATTTTACATAGAAATTCACCAATTTTGGTGAAAATTGCCATAATTCAATCGAAAATAATGACTTAATGTTCACTAAATAGGTGGGAACTCTATTTATCTTGATGACGGAGAAGTATATATAAAGATGAATGATGCTATAATATGGAATATGATAGTAAAGGTATGAATGTGGTGCCTAGAAATCAGTCAAAGAACAGAAATATCCCACCAATTAAAATCAAGAATTTGCATTTGAGTTGCCATTCAACTCCTATAGATTAACTGCTTAAAAAGATGTTTGTGGCATAATGATTTATTCTGTGGGAGAATTTAAAGCCAAAAGGCATTAAATTTTCACCAGGATGTGTCCTCATTAAAACAGATGAGGAGCTTTAAAGACTTAATATTATCTCTAAAAAGGGATTATTCATTGTCTTAGCCTGTTTTTCATTGTAGAAAAAGGTTGCCTAAGTCTTTTCTTACTGAGGTTTTGGGAAAAGAACTCAGGGCCTCTTCATGGTTGAATCATTGTAATTTAACATATTGAATGAAAAATACTAAGATAATTATGAAAACATTAATGAATTTTATGCAAAAAGTATTGGTAAAAGCCACAGAAAGTTTGGCGCACGGCGCACCATAAACTTTATCCCATTAATGAAATCAAAGACTCAATAACTCAAAAAAGCTACTAATAGAGATGACTTTTTGTCAAATAATGGGCAAAGCTAGCCAATAAAATACTAAAAGCTATCAAGTTTATATCAATCAAAACGAAAAGAAAATGACTGATCTAAGTAGTAAAAAGAATCTATAAAGTATGATAACTCTGAGGGTTAGAAAAAGCCAAGAATTTATCATGAGACAGATCAAAATATAAAATTGTAGACAATTAGTAAAAATCAAAAATTTGAAGATATAAAAGGAGATTATGAGAATAGTGATGTTCTTAATGATATCAATAGGAGGTAAGCAAAAAATAAATGGCCTGAAACTAATAAGTTAATGATTTTGCTTTAAGAATGAATATCCTTAAGTAATTACAGTCCAAATTTTAATTGAAACTTTCTAATACTCAATTATTAAGTTTTACTAATTTAATAATTCAACCTACTTAGCTCGATTAAATTATGACCTATGGGGTTTTGGGGTTTTGGGG